TTTTGAGGCTTGAAACCATGCTAACTCGTGGTGAGGTTGGAACTTGGTTGAAAAACGGCACGAAAACGCAAAGATTTTCTAAGCGTCAAACAAGATACCCATCAAAAGAGCTTATTTTATCTCATAGCTTTGGTAGAAGCTAATTGGAGCGCGTAAACCGCAGAAGAACGGATGTTTTTGAAGCGCAATCACTCCAGAAGCATTTAGAGCCTTCTGAAAAAAGTAACGGTCCTCTTTTTGAACTGCACTGGGTTCAGTGTGTAGCGGACACGTCAGACTTTGTTACTGTAGCTTTACAAAAAATTTGGACTCAAATGACTGCAATCTTGAATAAAAAATGAACCTTTGTTTGAGGTGTTTGTATGATTATGAACTGCTTAAAATCCGCACTAGGCGCTCAAACGCTCCTAAGATTGACATCCATTTCCATTCTTATGGATCATATACTGTTTTCAGCTGTGATCGCGTGGTACCAACGGCTTTTTGAGTTTCTCCCAAAAAGTCCAAAAACTTACAAAATTTTGGGTGTTCGTATAATTATGAACAGCACTTTATATCAAAAATGAGCCCTATAACTCAAGCTATAGTTCATTATACCCCGCAACAGTCTTTTTAACGGTGCTATTTGATTGCCATTTTTCAGAAAGGTAAATTACCAAATAGATAATTTTGTCCAGCTTAAATGGAGCTTCTGATTTTGATTATGTTCTTTCTATTGCTCTCATCATGATCGACCTCGACGAATTGGATTCGAACTGGACAGGCTTGTGTTACACTTTCTTGCCCGTAACCATCTCAAAGATTTCATAGCAGCAGCTCAAGATGAAAAGTTGACGAAGGCTAGCAACAAATCAATTTCTCAAGGCTACGCTCAGAATCGCCGTTTGAAGCTGTGCCAATGCCATAACGGGTCCGAACTCCCGTGCACCGCCGGCATTAATCGTGGTGTTCCGGCACGGAGGTGGCACGGAGCTGGCATAACGTTATATGCAAGCTAATTTGAACTTACTTTTAGAAATTGCTGGGTAAGTGCAGGAATGAAATGTGCGATTTACTGGCCTTATATCACTACTAGAAGGTGCCCACAATTTGCGAAATAAACTGCAGCAGTAGCTGCAGAGAATAAGGAGCTCAGGGAGAAATTCAAAATGAGTTCTACATTGAATAAAGGTTTTTATTTTTTCTGAGCACTTTAAGGGCATGGGATGGAAGAAGACAGTCAATGACTACTGCAAGGAGTATGCTTGCAAGCCATGCTGCCGCTATACATTTGAACTTTCCTCATGAAAAAAACTCTGGAATTCCAAAATAAATAGATGTAAAGTTTCTGCAAAGAATTTCTTCGTTTTTATTTCCTTGATTGTTTCAAAGCTGAATTCGATTACAAATTTGATAAATCTCCATCTCCCCGTTGAATATGGAGGTTATACAAAATATCTGCGAAAAAGAGCACAACGAAAGTTTATAAATATATTAGGTGGCTGCAAATGTTCGTTTGCCAGTTTGTCAAATCATAACTTCCTTTCGACTCGATGAATCTCTTTGATTTCATACCCATTTGAAAGAAAAAACCTCTCTCTTTACAGCAGTTTCTTTACCATGAACTGACATGGAAAAGTTCAAGAGTTAAAAGCAATTGAGGAAAAGTACTCAATTGGCATCTTTCAAGCAGAGTCATGAAAAATTCTAGAAATATTTATGTATGATAGAGAAAATTATACTCTTTACTATAGTGGCTTTGTCATGAATCAAAACGGAAAAAATCGAGAGTAAGAGGCAATTAAAGAGAATTGCTTCAGTTTTGCAGATTTTAAGCATGTTCAAAAAAGCCTAAGAACGTCCTCGAAAAGACGGGAAGTCAAGAACGTGCGTTTCATGACCTTTCCATTCTAGCTGAGCGAGTTTTGAGCTAATCAAGAGCAATTTTGATTTTTGTGAGAAACGCACATCCGCAAATTCGAAAAAATCACGACAAAAATCAAAGTTGCCTTCGCTCAGCTCGAAACTCGCTCAGATAGAAAGAGAAGGTCACAAAACCCATGTTCATGACTTTTCCGTCTTTTCTGTGACGTTTTTAGGCTTTTTTTTGAGCATGCTCAAATATTGCAAAATTGAAGCAATTCTCTTTATTTGCTTCTAACTCTCGATCTTCTTCGTTTTAAAATATAGAAAAGGCGCCACTGTAATGAGCATAATTTTCTCCAAGAATTTTTCGTGACCCTACTTGAAAAACGCCAATTTTGAGTACTTTTATTCAAATGCTTTTAACTGTCGAATTTCTTCATGCCAACTCACGTCAAAGGTACTACTGTAAAAAGAATGGTCTTTTTTCAATTGGATTTAGTCTAGAGGAAATCCATTGAGTTTAAAGGTAGCTATGATTTTTTTGAAAGAGTGGCGAACGAACTTTTGCACCCACCTAATATAATTCAAAGATTTCAAACATCTTCGGTTTTAATTGTAATCTCTACCATTCGCAGACAGCTGGTACGCGCTGCAGTTGATATGTATGAAAGTGTTTGCTTAGATGTCCGCGCGGCTCCTCCTCTTTCTCATCTTCTATCAAAGGAATGGGTTTAGACATAAGAAATTGAAGAAACCTCAGAACATGTCAGCATCACTCGAAGATGTTATGCGTTAGAGGGGAAAAGTCAAGTTTTCTGCTTTACGTGAACGCTTTTGCATTTTTCAGGATTTCATCGCCATGCTAATTCGGAATGTTTCATGAAATTATTTGAGCTTTGTCAGCTTTATTGCTGGGTCGTTAACGTTTCGAATTGTTGTTTGAAAGCTTTGATATCTCTTAGTTTATCGCTGCTTCCTAACGCCAATTTTGCCAATACATCAATGCAATTACCAATTTCGTATATCAAAAACCAAAATATAATGCGATTATATTGAAGTTACTCACATAAATAGCCATTGAGAGCGCATTCTTTACCAGTATACTTTCGTTTCTTCGACGATCTTGTGGCTTTTCAATCATTTTTACAAAAAGTATACACTAGTCTAGTCTTCTCATAGCTGAAAAAGTTTATTACCGCTGGTGCTCTCAACCGGCCAAATTGCTCGTTAGAGCAAGCTGTATTTTTGTATGCGAAAGGCAAAATATATAAAAAATTACGAAGGTATTTTCTTTTCGGTTTTTACACTAGTTTTGATGATTTTCGAAAAAAAAAACGCTTGTAAAAAACCGAAAATTTCTATTTGTGCTTGCAATATAGACTTACATGCGAATAGGCCAACATTGCTTTGTCTACAGTATTCGGTTCTCATTTTCTTAATTGCAAAACAAACACTATATCTTTTTACGAATCTCTTATCGAAGATTATAAGTATAAGAAAGTTTGAGGATGGTAAAGCTCATTCCTTCAAAGGTCACTAAATTTTATTTTTCATCTCAGTTAACGTAAAACCAAAGTGCGAATGTTTTAAGGATATCTAAGGAGAGATAACTGCTGACCACAGCTTTTGTGATACATCATAAATTAGAGTGCTCGCCTCAAAACGCTGATCTCAAAACTAACAAGGGAACCGTGTCGAGTCGAAGTGGCCTTTCCCGATGAGGCCCATACTGCTTTGAAGAGCATCAATCAGTGATTCCAAATCTGCTTTCCAAATCTGCCAAGCGCCTCTGGACGCCGAGTTATGCTCGTTTTTCAGGCCAAAAAATTGAACGCAAAACTGAAGCAAAATCGCCCAAATTTGCTCAAATGGTCCAGTGTCAAGTATCAGAGCTATTTATGCAATGGATACATTTGATTTAATGTGCTAATACTTAACACTGCTTTATCTGAGCGCTGGAAAGATTGTAACCAACAATTTTACCTAAATTCTGCATTCATTTTTCGTTCCGAAGAACGGTCATAACTCGGCGTCCAGAGGCGCTTGGCAGATTTGGAAGGCAGATTTGGAATCACCGCTTAATACGCTTCAAAGCAGTATGGGTCTCATCTGGAAAGGCCACTTCGACTCGACACGGTTCCCTTGAAAGTTCATTATCTGCGGAATGCTTTTTTTTCCAAAGAAATAGTGCCAGTGAAAGCGAACGCAAACATATCCGCGCCGGCAGTTGTGCACTAATTGACAACGCTAACCGCTGAACTCTTTGACACTTTCGGCATCTATCAGCATTAGTCGTATTCTTGTGCAAACACATTAGATCTGAAAAAATACGGTGTTTGTAAAGAATCTTTGCCGATAACGAACACAGTTTTGAAATTAGTGTCCCAAAACGAATGTCATGACATATGTCACATATCAAAAGGTCAAGGTCAGCAATTTTCCCTTCCCCGTTCGTAGCTTTGATTTGTCAAATGACATGTTTATACAGTGTTTAAATCTAGTCTCCCGCGATGGCATGAGGAACATCCAGTTTCAAAGTGCAGTATTATGCAATCATAATTTGCAAGTTTGGTTAGTGAATTAGTGCTAACCTCGTTTACACACTAACTTGTTAATACCTCACGGAGTTAACTTGTTGATAACTAGCTACCAGATTTAACTTGTTGATAACTAGCTACCAGATTTATGTGGAGTAACTGGTTTTCTCAAACCACTGCTCGTTATCTGACAGACAAAAATCATAATTACAGAATGCGAATACTGATCTTCTTGTGCATTCTCCCATTATGCGACTGTTTTGCTATTCCTGGCCACCCAGTTGAAGTAGTTGGGATACTGCGTTGTAACGTTAAACCCGCTGCTAACGTGGATATAATGCTGGTAGAAAAAGAAGCTTGTGAGTTAGAACTGCAACTGAGCTCAATTCAAACTATAATTTCAGCTTCCAAATTTCGATTCCTGGCTCTTTCCAAATCGCGCCGCCAAGGTTCTTTCAAAATTTCAGGCCATGCTACAGATACAACCCAAACACAACTTGTCATCTATCATAGATGCAACTATCATGAGGTACAGCTTGTTTACTCTTTGCCGATGAACAACTAGATTTCCAGAAGAATGACAATGTAGCAAACTTATATCACACGAATGCTGTTTAGATTGGCTACAAGAGGCTCACCATAGCGATCCCACAATATCGTGTACTCAAATTCAAAGGAGCATCAAAAAATGTCTTCAGTGCAAGAGTATTGGAACTCGCCGAGGAGCACAACGGACAAAAGATCGTTGCAGGGCTTCCCGAAATAATAATTGCAAGAAACCATGGCGGCTAAGTTACACAAGATGAATAAAGACTTCCCCATTCGACCGCAACTTTTAGGTGTATGGGACATGGGTTGAAGTCAGCCATATGCACATAAACAAGACTCAAAGATGCACCTGTCATAGAAGCATGCGCCTTCTTCTCTTTCTCCTTCTTGTCATACCTCTAAGCCATTAAGCTTAGTTTTTAAGTGCTTCATGATATTGCTTTTTTGCAATAATTTTTAGTTTGCCACAAGACTAAAATGGAAAGAAAAAGAAAGACAAAAAATGAAGTCCTGCGTCAGACAAAATAACGCATGAGTGCAGTACTCAAATTTGAGCCACTTTATACTTCTCACCTAAGCTTTGCTCTCGTTTTCACATTTTACTGACAATGAGATAATAGGTAGTAAAATCAGCTTTTTCGGCTTAAAGCTTCAAAGACTATAAATTTTACGTAAGCGTTCATGAAGGCGCACGGTATCTGGCTGTAAACGCACATGTATTGCATTCCGTCTTAACACCGCTGAATTTGTGTAAACAACGCCGCTGAGCACGAAAATTCAACGTGGACCGCTTAAGCTGGTTCGCACCTGCCTGAGGCATGTTGGAGACTTTTACGATATTGCGCAAAACTCTCGGTTCTAGACTGCGCAGGTGCAAGACTTGGGTCAAGATCCAAGATTGAAAGGGCGTCATTAATAAGAGTATCGTTTATTCGTTGACCGTAACGACTGCTGACCGCGCGGCGCTGCGCGTGCATGATGTTTTCGTAGAAAAGATGAATAGAAAGAAAACAGAGGATTCCTCTGATCTTTATAATGTAGAAAAGAAACAAAGAATTCTTTTCATCTTAAGCCACGGTCCAACTTGTCACTTTTTCGCAAGTTTAGAAGGCACGCGTCGCAGTCGCCACGCGGTCAGCAGTCCGTACGGTCAACGAATGAACGATACATTTGCCAAGGATGGAAACACGTGAATTTGGTTTGTCTGGTACCCTCGCAGAGGTGTCATTTACACATAGAGTTTTCCCCTATAAGGCTAGTATTGGCTAATGCACGCGAACTCTGGCTTTACCCTCGACTAACCAAACTCTTCAATTTCTCTTGAAGTTTAGACTTGACGTCGATGCAAACGTGATCACAAGTTTTTATCGATCTACCCACAATTCTCGTCCAAGGTCCTCGGGCACGAGACGTTAGCAACACTGCTCCTTGTATAAGCATTTTGACAGAAGCGAGCATATGTGATTTTGCTTCGTTTCTAAACAGTTCGCAGCAAACGTTGTTGTTCAAAACTAGGGAGAAGGAAAACAGAAGAAGGCAGTGAAGACATATGAAGTAATTTTGGAAAAAAGTAATGCTTACAGTTGAATCACAGGTTTCTTGTCATGTTTATAAGTCATCATCCGATTTGATAGCCTAATAGGACTAATTCAGCAATCCATGATATTTGCTTGTTAAAGTCACCTTCTTTGAAAGCAAAGTATGCAGGAGCAAGGACTCTTTAACAAAGTGCTGGAAATCATTCGATATATCGGTAGTTAATAACCTTATGATACGGATGTTCGAAAAACTTCAGAAAAGACCAGACAGTAACTAATAAGCCGGACATTGGCAACTTGTAGAAAGTTCGAATCCAACCTATTTACATCTTTTGAGTTCGATCAGAGCTTGGCACAAAATAAATGTCAAACTTCAACCAGGAAAAACTAAAAAGGAAAAATGGTCCGAAGTGTGTGCGGAGTCTCAGAAACATCGTTAGACATAACTACAACCACGATAGGACAAATACGAATATTTAAAAGCCAAGTGATGAAGGACGCGTATTTTTCCTTCAAAGTCTCCTACCACCGCCAAAAAAATAGTTCGTTTCTGCAGCACACAGGTAACGAGATAGCACCAAATTCAGTGTAAATTCATTGTGTGAGGTAGGAGTAAAGCCTGAATTTATCTTACGCACATAAAGAATGTCCAACTCATTCTGCAGGTTAGGATAGCAATGCCGTCCTAATGCCACTTTGACTTATCGCAACCAAAGGAGTAAGAGAAAATGGAGTAATCTTTTATATAAAGCTGCCTGTTTGTCTCTCTGTCTTCTATATTCTGTGCGTACAATAACTCTCAAAATTTGCAAAATTTCCGTGAATGTCGCAAAATTCCCGGAATTCCGCGACATTCTGGGAATTTCGCGAAATCAGCACGAATCACGCAAACTACGCAGCGCCATAACTTCCTTCGGAATGGATCTATTCTAAATCTGACAGAAGCATTGTATACAGCTCGTCAAGGCGAATCTTCTAATATATAGCATGTCCTCGATATTCCGTTTCCACTTTTCTCAAATTCTTCTGCGGAGGACTTTTCGCAAGAACTTGACGCAGCATCTGTTTAACGTAAAAGATGACAGTAAGTACCATTCGATAGAACTGTTCTTGCAGATTATAGGTCGCTATAAAGTAGCCTCTTGCTAATCAGATGTGATTTTCGTAATCAGCAGATCAGATAACTATATTAAGCAAGTTTCCGAGAAGTTCAAGTCATCTCATTTTTTTCCGTTTTATGCTCTGAAGCTCGCCGATGGATTTGCCCTATTGATGGTCTTGGATTGTAACGAAACTTCGCTTATAGTAGAGGTCTGCACACGCACACGCTGTTTACGAGAATAGTGGTCTTTGAGAACAGGGTCTTTACATGGTGAAGTAACCTAACTGAGTCACGAAAGTTCATAACTTCGTCTTTACTTTTCGCGCATCTCTCAGAAACTTGCCTGCTTGCTCTTATAGGTTAAAGTTACTAGAAACTGCATGTCTCAGACTCCAGTCACAAAGCTGAGTTACGAGCCTACGAAAACACGCCCTCATGAATTTTGCCCAAAATGTGAAAATCTCATACCTCGCCGACATTCCACCTTAAGTGGTTGTATGACTTTCTGATTGCAAATAATAGTTCATTTCGCTCGAGGGATCCCACTGTATTGAATACGGCGGTTACTTGTGCTTCTGCTTAATTGAATATCAAAGCAGTTTCATAGCTAAAGCGCAGATCTATTCAACTATCAAATCCAACACAGGAAGATCTGTCGAGTTAAGCGATGTGAACAGTTTTGGTCAGCGTGTTATACAACCACTCAAGGTGTCGGCGAGGTATGAGATTTTCACATTTTGGGCAAAATTCATGAGGGTGTGTTTTCGTAGGCTCGTAACTCGGCGATTTTTGTAGACTGGAGCCTGAGGCATGCACACTGGATGGTACAGTTCTTACTAACTTTGAATTATGAAAGCAAGCAGGCAAGTTCTATGAGAGGTGCGCGAGGTGAAGAAGAAGTTATGAACCTTCGTAACCCAGTTACAATTACCTCACCGTATCTCTGTAAAAAGACCCTGTATTCCTCAAAGACCATGATTTTCGTAAACAGTGTGTCCGAAAACCTCCATAAGCGAAGTTTCCTTACAATTCAAAATCATCAATATTTGGCCAAAATCCATCGGCGAGCTTCAGAGCGTAAAACGGGACAAAATGAGATAACCCGAGCATCTCGGAAAACTTGCTTAATTGAGGTTATCTGAGCTGCTGATTGCGAAAATCACATCTGATTAGAAAGAGAGCTTCATATATCAGGGTTATAGTGAGTGAGATTTCAAACAACATGATTTTTCTAAAATTCACCAGCCCTCCTAGTTCCTTAGAATAGAATTCTGCGTTTATTTTCCAGCGCTCCACAGTCTACAAAAGAAATGTTATTGGAAGGTTCTTGAAGTTCAATGTTTCAACGGTTTTCAAATGATATGCCGTTATTTAGAGCAGTGGAAATGACTGAATAATTTATTCGCCTTTTGCACAACCTATCAAACGGTAAATGCATGAAATCTATTCTCTTTGAAGGCAGTGGATCAGCAGAATGGACCCCTGTCAGATTTTGGTAGTTTCGGGTAGTAGACCCCCCCCCTCAAGTACACCGTAGCCTCAACCCCACCTTCCAATTCATGCGCTGAGTCCTAAAGAGCGCTTCAAAATTCCACCAATAACGCTCACCCAATGGAAGTGGGCGGGGCTGGTGGAGTTTTGATGCGCTTTTTTCAGGACTTAGCGCATGAAATAGATGAGGTTGGGGCTACAGTGTACTTGGGGGGGGGGGTCTACTACCCGACACTACCAAAATCTGACAGGGGTCCATTCTGCTGATCCACTGCCTTTGAGGCAATCTAAAACTTCTTGTTTCGGGCCACTTCTTACGAGAAACGATGTATTCTTCAATAAGAGCGACATTCTTCTCATGCATTCTGGTATTCACAGCCCATCCAAACAAAAAACTGCAAATGACTTTGTATAAACTCGTCACTGATCTCAAAGACTATATGGGTAACCCAGATAAATTGGCAGAGGCTTGTGCCAATGTCCTCGCTCCCGGATGGCAAACCTTTTAGTTCTTTTAGAAAAAAATAGAACATAACTGTTATTATTATTATTATTGCAGTTTCTTTGGAATTTTCCAGTTAGTTTTTTTTTTTCTTATACCTCGACCTTCATTTCTCAGATTATTTTTGTCATCGCCCATATGCAGCTGCTAGACTAGCCATGAAAAATTACTGTAATTTTCATTCTCCTGTTCGCATAACGATTTCTATCGTTTCAAGGTTTTAGTACACTCTTTACCAGAGCTCGGCACGAGCTGGCACCGGGGAAATTTCAAAACGAAATCCCACTTGATCTTGAAGTTTTCGTACGAAGTCCCCTCTGACCTGTTTTGAAGGCCCGCCATTATTTTTAGTTTATGTAAAAGTAAGTAGTAGGGATTTCATATATGCTGATTTCACGAAACAACTTTTCACAGCTTTCTGAGCTTTTCAAGTGGTTGAATCACATTCTGAGAAGCAGAAAAAGCCGATTTTTCGATTGCGAAGCAGATCGAGTAATTTTCAAATGGCTATAAAACGCCGAAATGAAAGCATTATGAAATTGTTTTTTCACTTTATGTAAATTTTAACAGTGTAGATACAATTTATGTAAAAAAGTATGAAAACTTATGCGAGCAAAGTGTCGGTGCCAGCT